TAGGCAGAGAGAGCTCGCCAAGGACAGTCGTCATGTAGTCGACAAAGGAGTGAAAGTCATCTTGCAAAACATATTTTCTGGCACTGAATCCCCTGTGGATATATGCAGAATGTTTGCAAGAATGTAAATATCTCTCTCACACTGAGAATCGTGAAGCAATAAGATTCTCATTTTACACTTAAGGATTTTCATTTATGAGACAACAGCTACACTTTCTAGAGTTAACTTAGAGAACATTCTACACATGTAGAACACCAAGTATTTTTGTAAGTTAGGTTGTGAGGGCAGAAATTCATCTACCCAGTTTATCTTGTTATCACATCGTCTGTTCTCATCATTTGAGAAAGCCCCTGAAGAGTCTCACGGCCCACCCAGAACAGTGACAAGAAATGCCCTTCTCCCTTGCAAGTAGGCACCTGTACTCCCATCAGATTTTAATTCTAGTGCATTTTTGTTTTAGCAAATACTTCTAAAGGGCTAATGGTAGAAAATAAAATCTTTCATGACCATCAAGAAATAAGATCATATGCTCACACATGCTCACATTTGATGTGTTCTTTAGCCTACCATTGTTATTCATTTTTAATTTCTAAGCCAGGGGTCATTGAGGTCATGTCAAACAATGAACAGTACCCTAGGTTGCTGACAACCTGGAGGTCTCCCTGTCAAGGAGCCTGAATACTAATGATAGAAAGAGTTAGCTGGGTTAGGAGAATTGGTAGGGAAGCCCCTATTATCTCCTTGTAGACTCAGAGTATGAAAGAATAGAATCCTCAGGATTTTTAGTTCATTGGTTATATTGTTTACCACTTACCTCTTCTTAGTCACATTTTATAATTTTGAATAAAATATTAAAAATAATTTTAAATCACTTGAAAATGATTTTAAACCACTTATTGCTTGAACATGAAAAGCAATAATAAACTGTGATTATTAATGGCTCAGCCATTATCTTAATTAAGGTTAGCTTGAATATTTTTTCTTGGAGAAGGTCATGTTCTCTTACAAGTTTATTCAGACACACATAAAATAATAAGAGTTGGTAGATAGACGTGTCTAGTGTTACCCTGCACTGGATAGTTTTATGGCAACTTGACCCAAGCTAAAGTCATCTAAGAGGAGAGAACCTCAATTAAGGAAATGCTTTCATAATATTGGGCTGTAGGTGTTTACCATGGTGTACAAATGAACTTTGAGGGATGAACTATGAGCATCCACACAGAGGGATGCTCTCTCAGCCAGGAAACATGGGGAAGGGCCTAGGTCCTGCCCTGCATGAAATGACAGACTCTGGAGATACCCCCAAGGAGGGCCTCACACTCCCTGGGGAATGATGTGGGGATTGGGTGGGGGACAGGAGAGGGGCTGGTGGAGGGACAAGGGAGGGGGCATGGGAGGGGGAGCTGGGATTGACATGTGAAACATTCATGTTTCTAATATAAATAACAACATATATTGAGGGGGAAAAAGATTGGGCTGTAGGCATGACAATAAGGTATATTCTTAGTTAGAGACTGATGACGGAGGGCCCAGACCATTGTGAGTGGTCCCATCTCTGGACTGGTGGCTCAGGTTCTGTAAGAAAGTAGGCTGAACAAGCCATGAGAGCAACCAAGTGAACAGCACCCCTCCATGACCTCTGACCTCTGACCCCTCCTGCCTCCTGGATCCTAACCTGTTTAAGGTCCTTTCTTAGCTTCCTTTGATGATAAACAGTAATATGGAAGTACAACCTAAATAAATCCTTTCCTCCCTGTCTTAGTCAAAGCTTTATTGCAGCAATGAGACACCAGGACCATGGTAACACATATAAAAGGAAAACATTTAAGTGAGACTTGCTTACAGTTCAGAGGGTTAATCCTCATGGCAGAGAAGCATGATGGCATGCAGGCAGAGACGGCAGCTGAGGATTCTATATCTGACTGCAGATGATGGAGGGAGGCCTGGATTGTGAAGGCCGTTAGTTATTTTGAATTAAGATTCTGTAGTTCTGGTTAGTTGTGACTGAAGAATCAGATGTGATTAACAAGATACCAGAACTACTAAAGTGAAACCTTGGTTTTGCTGGAATACTTGATGCTGGTTGGCTGGAGCTAAGAAATTCTCTGTGATTAAGAAGAGACCAGCATCACTGAGGTGACATCTTTTGGGAAGTGTTTCTTGAGAGTCAGCACACAGAGGCTGTGTTCCAGAAATGGCCAAGGTTGTACCTCACACTGGCCGCTGAACTTGTTACTGTGGTACTGGTGTTGAAAGCATAATGGGGTCCTGAAAAACAGCTGACATTTGGCACTGTGAGAGCCCAGGAGAGGTCGTTGGTGAAGATGCAGCCTCAGTAGCAGTTGAAGGCCTGGGATTGAAATGGTCATGCAGAGAAGTTGAGGCTTGACCTCATGAAGACAGCCTATTAGAGGTTATTGGTCAAAATTGCAGCCCAGATGCAGCTATTAGAGGTTATTGGTCAAAATTGCAGCCCAGATGCAGCAGAAGACCCCAGTGTTGGAGATGCCAATATCATGGGATGACCATGGAGAATAGCAGCAACTATGGAGTGGAGCCAGCTTGTAGCCTAGAAGACAAGCTGTGTGTGTGGCAGAAAGTAGACACAGAGAAGTGACCAAACCCTTTGGAGGAGTCCAGAAGATTGTGAGTGAATCCCTGACATTCAACATTGACTTTTCACTTTTGGAGTTTGTTTTTGCTTTGCTTTAATTGTAAATGTGCCCTGGCTCTTCCCTCTAGAAGTAAGACTTTGAATTTTAAAAGACTTTGGTTTTAAGAGATTAGTCATTTTAAAGAGATTGAACTTTTAAATGTTTAAATTTGTAAAGACTGGGGGATTTTTTAAAAGTTTTTTATATTTTAATATGAGATCTTGGGGATGGGAAAAATAAGAAAGGAAGGGTTGTGCCTTAACCATGATGTGTTGTTTTTTAATCAAGTTGACAAGGGAGCAATTGTACTGGGTAGTTTTATGTCAACTTGACACAAGCTAAATTCATCTGGAAGGACAGAGCCTCAATTAAGAAAACGCCTCCACAGATTGGGCTGTAGGCAAGCCTGTAGGGCATTGTCCTAATTAGTGATTGGTGGAGGAGGGCCCAGCACATGGTGGGTGGTGCTATCCCTTGCTGGTGGTCCTAGGTTCTAGCAAGAAAACAGGCTGAGCGCTACGAGAAGCCAGTAATCAGCACCCCTCCATAGCCTCTGCCTCAGTTCCTGCCTCCAAGTTCCTGATGTTTGGGTTCCTGTCCTGACTTCTTCCAATGATGAACAGTGATATGAAAGTATTAGCCAAATAAACCCTTTCCTCCTCAAGTTGCTTTTGGTCATGGTGTTTAATGGCAGCATATTAATTATGCAAAAGGGCTTCATATTTTCATCCATGTATATAGTGTATTTTGATCATGTTTATCCCAGTGCCCTCTTAACCTCCCTCCAGACCCACTTCCTCTTCCCCATTCTCTTCTACTTGCTTGTCTTCTTTGGTGACCTCACGAGCTTAATTAGGGTTTTGATAAAGGGTTTCCTGCATGCACCTGTCAAGGGCTGAGTTTCAGATGAACTCCCTGGCTCAGGTCAATATTGATATGCTTGTTTGCCCATCTGTAAAATGGTGCCACTTGTTCCTCTTTATGCTCTGAGATTAATGACTGTGTACTATGCCAATAACCACACCCGGGGTATTTGTGCACGGAGATTCTATAGTGAGACAATAGAGTTAAACACTGAGCTCCCTCAGAGACAACTTGTCAGCTTCCTAAAATGATTAAGTTCAAAAGGCTGCAACTGACTTAGGAGATGAACGCCAGCTTTATCAGCAAAATTGTGTATTCGCATTGTTCAGTTTCCAGTTGGTTATATGTGAAACTCAGGGTTAAAACTCCACTTCAAGAACTGAGATGCTATATGACCCTCTAGCTCAGTGACTTACACTTAATTATATTGACAATACAATAGGAAGCACATGACAGGTTGTAATTTTCTCTTGACAGGAAGAATCATTGTCAGTCTATTATGAGACAACTCTAGGATGTTGGCTCATTAAGAATCAATTGGGGGACATTCAGATGACAAAGGTCTCACCTCCAAGCCTAACCACCTGAGTTTGAAGCCCCACCCAGCATCCATACGGTGCAAGGAGAGATTCAACTCCACAAAGTTGTCCTGTGATGGTCCCCATCCAATGCTTCCCCACATAAACAGAAAGTAGATTAGTAAATTAGGGGTAGACTATTTCTGCGTGCACACTTGCATAGCACACACAAGGCCCTGGGCTGAGGTGTGTGTAACCAATTGAATGTATAACCAATTCTTAATTTCTTTAAGGCAAGGATTGAAATGTTCATGCTATGCTTCTAAAGTAGATATTGAATGGTCCTATTCAGTTCTGGTCCAGTCCGTTAGGACTTACCAAATTTCCCAGGGCAGAAATAACTGAGTGTACCTTGAAACCTGCCTCTAAACTTAAATGGACATAATCGGCTTCCCATTCCTGACCATATCCTTGCTTCTTTTAGAAATGATTGTATTTTGAATATTAAGTGCCTCCGAAAACAAAATGTAGTTTCATAAAGTATTTTCATATTTTCTCTGACTATCGGACTCTTGAGACAAAAACATTCCTTCAAATGGCCACCCTCCCACCCCAGCAAACTGGGTTTTGTAGTAAACTGTCAACATCTTATTTTATTATTGGTGGAAGCATGTCACGCCAAAGTAATGAAGGTAATTTCACACACTCAGAATTCTTTAAGTACTGAAGCTTACCACCGACCTTTGAAACCAAACAGCCGACATTTCAAATGACTTTTAAACAAATGGGATGAAAAATAGGCCTCAGCTGATGATTGAAGCTGTTTATCTCAGATATTTCTCTGACTGCTTCTGATACAGCCCTTATAAGTTAGAATCTTCAAAACGTGAGGACAGAACATGGACGAAAAGCTCCCACAGCCTGTCCCATAGTCCTAAGCCCGAGAGAAACAAGACAAGTCTTCTTGTTAACCAAATGGGTTTATAAGCAGCTTTCACAGATGTTGCCTCAGACCCCTTTACTACGCCATCCCGGCTGTGGTTGCACTAACTGCTTACAGGGCGTTAGACCCATCCAGGTCACACACACCGGCATGGCAGTCAGAGCAGACTGGAAAAGCAACGCTTGGCCGTGCTGGTGCAGCCCCGCGGGAAACTCTCCTCCAGGAAGCGGATCAGACAGTCCTGCTAGGGAGAGCCGTGAAAGAACAGTCAAGCAGGCAGAAGTGAATCACTGCTCTTCCCCAGCTGCCCTTCTCTGTTTTAAGGTATACAGTATTAGGGGAGGTCAGCAGTTAGGCTTTTAACAATCATGGTCTAATGCTGCTCAACTTCTTCTTGCTTCTTATTTTGACGTATTGTCCTTGCTGCCTGTGGTATCATATTAGGGATCCCATCGATGATTGGATACGCTATTCCCAGCTCTTCGTTAATCAACTCATTTGTCGATGCTTCATATCTGAGGAAGAAAAAGAACATAATGAACTACGGGAAATCAGAAGCCAGAAGAGCTTGATAATAAAGACCGCCTATCTAATTCTTGATACAGAGTTATTCCTCCAATAGTTTTAGTCTTAAGTGCACTAAGCCAACCCAACCATTTCTTTTAGTTATTTCCAGTGGAATCAGTATATCTCATATTATCTTTTAAAAAGTTAATTCCCAAGTTATGCTTTAACCTTTTCATACCAGCTAGAAAAGATGTCTACATTTCACACCACTATTCCTTCCTTGCTGTGTATGGTCAACCCTAAATTACTCTAAAAGGGGAAAGAAAGAAAAAAAAAACTTCCTCTGTTGATCTAAATGCTAGAGAGACTTATATGACATAACAGAAAGAAATAACTGAAAATCAAAACATGCAACATAAAAGCCTGGAAGATGGCCAGGAGGTGGTGGCGCACGCCTTTACTCGGGAGGCAGAGGCAGGTGGATCTCTGTGAGTTCGAGGCCAAGCTTGGTCTACAAAGAGAATTCGAGGACGGACTCCAAAGCTATACAGGGAAACCTTGTCTCGAAAAACAAAACAAAACAACCAAACAAAGAAGAAAAAAGAAAGGTCCAGACGCTGGCCCTGATACTGAGGTCCAACAGTCTGAGAACCCGGTCTTTCTTGAAGGTCTTCAGGATTGATGGTCAGGCGCAGCCACTGGAGACACAAGAAACGCCCTGCTTCCGTCATGGGCGGGACCAACCCCAGCAAGGGGGCGGGGGTGGGCCGGCGACCCGCGGCTGGGTGGGGGCTCCGGACCCGTTGGGCCACCACCCTCCTCCGGGAGGGGCCACAGGTGAGTCTCACCTAAGCGGCTTCTTGGAGAGCGGACACACCAGGAACCGCAGCAGCGCCGGGTGGAAGGTGCGGGGCTCCTCCGCCCGGTCACTCTGGTCAGCGAAGGACCTGACCCCAGGCGCCAGCAGGTACCTCCCGGCGACCGCAGACGGTGTGCGCGGACCCCGTAGCGCCGGGACGAGCCTGCGGCACGTGGCGCTCAGCATGGCCGCTCCGACAGCCAACGAGGCCGCCACCCGACCTCCTCCACTGCTCCCCCGGCACCGACCCGCCGGGTCACCCTGGCCAGGCCCGCCCCGGCCCGGCCCCGCCCCGCCCCTCTGTGTTCTGCAGAACGCAGCCCGGGCACAGAGGCGCTGGCGTTGTGGTTCCGGGAGCGTGACTGACGTTCCGGGGTCAGTGGCTGCTCCATCCTTTTTACGGAAAATTGTAAAATTAAACCAGTGCTCATTCGGTGTCCAACTTTTCTGCAAGGGTCATCACAGATGCCAAGGGCCGGACTCCAGTCACACAGCGATAGGCAGGCTTCGACTTGGGCGGTTGTCTTCAGAGTCTTCAAACACAGACATATTGAGTGTGTTAGAATCAACAGCTTGTTTAGTGTTAATCGTACAGTATCAGTTTCTGTGACCTTCGGATTCCATCCCCATCCAAATAATTAAGAGCCTGGAAAGAATGGCTCTGTTCTTTTATTCCGTAACTGTGAAGGCCTTTATAACCTAGGCTTGTTAATTGTAATTACCACGGTAAAGCACAACTCGTTCATTCCTACAGAGAGCCAGGGGTTCTCAACCTGTGAGTCAAGACCCTGGTGGGTCCAGTGACCCTTTCACAGGGGTCACCTAAGGCCATCGGAAAACGTATAGTTACAGTACAATTCATAGCAAAATTACAGCCATGGAGTCGAAATGAAAATAATTTTGTTATATCTATATGTTGGGGATCACCACAGCATAAAGAACTGTGTTAAACTGTCACAGCATTAGAGATGTTAAGAACCACAGCTGTAAATGAACCTGAAGGCTGTCTGGGAAAGTAATGAGACATATATGTTCATTAGTCAAAGGATCCACTAGGATTATTCAGTGGGTTTTGATCCCAACTTTGCATGGAAGTGATGCCCGTTTGATTTTCCTTATACAGTATCAAGATAGACAAGAACTTGGTCCCAGAGAGTTTGTTCCACGTTTATAAGCCAGACAACTCAATCTCCTTATTGGTATAATAAAATAATGCAGTTTCCATATTGGTATAGTAAGATTAATAATTGTCTCGAGTATGAACTGAACTGCCTTATCTATTTAAGACTTTACAAGACTAACCTGGCATGGTGATGCACACACTTAATTCCAGAACTCAGAAAGCAGAGTCTGGCCGATCTCTAAATCTGAGAGTGTGAGGCTAGCCTGAGTGATGCAGAGAACCCTGTATCAAAAGAAAAAAAAAAAGATTCTACAAAGCTGATGGGCAGATTAGAACTCTCTGTGATTGTGGAAAACTGGAATGTTTCAGGTCCAGGGCCAGATTATCTTCAGCTGTCTTTAGATGCCGGAACAGCCATTCATCACCTACTTCTGTGTCTGCCTTAACATCTTGGCAACTGTTGGCAATTCCTTTGGGAATGTACTAGCATCCCGCTGTCGGCTAATGGGAGAGACAATGCCTGGAAAGAAGCTGTGTCTCAAAGACAGGTTGACGGGTTAGAGCTTCAGTGATGTGGAGAGGTGGAAGGCCTCAGGCCCAGAGCCGATGTGTATTGGGGCATCCCTAGCCCCCTTAGTAGCCACTTATCACCCTCCCCTGGACAGGACCTGACACCTTTCTGGCCAAAAGGTAAATCCTTTGGAACATATGAGCAGACCCCTAGTTTCCACTGATGGGAAGGATGGTGTCAGATATCAGCTAGGGCCTATTACAGCTTTCCTTGCTTTGCTGTAGCCCACCTATCCGATGTATCCACTAATATATTTTATGTTATGACCTTTCAAAACTACATAAAAGGGTCATAAAATTGCTCCTGAGGGATAGGAAATTAGAGGGACAGGAAAAGTGAACATGGCTCCCTAAGATGGTGGCTTCTTGTTCCCAGACAAAAATGGAAGGCATAAGGGTCGTATCTAAACAGGACCAGTAGAGAAAAGGGAAGAACCCAGGGGCCTTACAAAACACATTCCCAGCTTTGGGCTTCTCCATCTCAAAGGGAGCTGTTTGCAATAAAGCTGTTACTTTTGCTTTCTCCACAGCTCAGTATTGTCTTTCCCTGACATTCAATTATTTGTCATCCCATGGGATGAACTCTGAGATCCCCTAAATGACTGTTAACACCCCATTACATCTCTTGAGGGTTCATCTGTGATTTAAGAAGACCTCTACTCAAGATCGCTATACCTTACTAAAAATCACAAAGGACTCAGAAGTGGCCATGATCTTCTGGCACTCCAAGGGCCTCTTTGGACTTCGGGAATCCTGTGACCATGACTGACATGGTTTGAAAGCCAGGTCAGCCCCAGCCTCTGCTAGGAGTAAGTAGAGTAGGGGATCTGGCTCTGATAGAACAGCATGCTTTGATCTCATATAGCTAAGTGGAGATCTGTCCTTCAAAAACTAGGGCAGGACTTATATCACCACATAAATCAAGTGACATTGCAAACTGGAACCTGAGAAAACATCTTTCCATGGAGGGAAGAGGGCAGATTTCTCACTTGATACACCTGCAAAGAAGGTCCACGGGGTAAGTCACTCTGCTGGATTGATTCAAGGCTGGCTTTGGAGCCTCTGAGGATGAACAGGTAAGTGTAGGCACCTGAGGTTAGACTGTCGCAGGGAAGGAATGGCTCGTTCAGTGTTTTGTTTCTTGAGTTGCCCTGGTGCATAGTGAAACCTGGAGTAGTCTCGAAACTTTCTGATGTCCTGAAAAGAGAGTGATGCCCAGCTTGCTCTGGAGGCACGGTGTGTGTGCGACAAATGGAGGTGGCTGCCAGTGAGCTAGTGTGTAGGGAAGCTTTCCTGGGTGCTGGCACTCATGAGGGGCTGTCACTGTCTGTGGGGAGCCCACATGGCTGCTCAAAACTTGTCTTTGCTTTTCCTTAGAACTCTCAAGAAGTGCAAACATTTTCCTTCAAAACTTTGTCACTGTATGTGACATGTGAGGGAAGAAGGGACATGGGTGTCAGGAACAGGGCCTCCCTTAGCTGGATTGTTCAGAAAATGACAACTTTGACCTTACAAATACCCACTGTGCACACATTCTTTCTCCCAGCCAGGTTCCACCATGTCCCCGAGTGTGTGCAAAAGAAACTGGCTTTCCAGGTCCCCGGATGATGTGGAAGTGTGGAAGAAAATGGCAAGGAATGATAACAGTAAGGCTGGGGGTGGGACTCAGCAGAAGACTTGCCTAACGTGGGCTAAGTCCTGAGTTCCAGCCCCAGCACTGAAATAAAACAAATTGCAGCCAAAAAAAATCCATAGCCATGAGAAGGTCTGGGTGTAGGTTGAGAGCTAACTGCACTGATTTCTTGCTTAGTGAACCTTACATGGATGCGGCAGGTTCCTATGTTTCCTAACTGCTGTCAATAAGGGAAGCAATTTCAGAGCATCTTCCAAAAGCAATGGGGGAAGGTACATCAGTTATAGTAGAAACCATTCAGTCACTGTGGTTAGGCCAGGTACGGTCGCACATGCTTTAATCTCAGCACTGAGGAGCCAGTTTGAGGCCAGTCTAGACTACAGAAAAAGCTCAAGGACAGCCAGGCCTACACAGAGAAACTCTGTCTCAAACAAAACAAAACAAAACAACAATGCCCCCAAACCCAAAACAACAAAAAAACCAAACCAAACTAAAGCAACAACACTGGGGTTAATTACTCTGAAGTCAGACTGCTGTGTTCAGAGCATGTGGGATGATTCTCCTCCCATGGGCTCTCTTTCCACCACTAAGGAGGGGGTGGCATCTAGTTTCACTACCTAAATTGTTTTCACTCAGCTCCTAATGCCACCTTCCCAACTCAAACCCCACTCCTTAGCCTTCCCAGCCTAGTTGCTATGGCCAGGGGAAGTTGGAGGATACTGTTATCCTAGTGGCCTTTAAAAGTGCCCTAGTGTTATTCACTGGCTGCAGCATGGACCTTTATATCCTGATGATCCTTAGGACTCTGACCACTTTCCTCTCAGTTGGATCCCCCTACTATACCAGAGATGGCATTAGGTCTTTCCCTGTTGAGGATCCACCCACTCTGTGGCTCATTGGCTTCTTACAAGAAATTAAATATCAAATCAGGAATTTTGAGGGATGGTGGCATCAAAATTATCTTGGTTACAGAAGTATAGTCTTTGGGCACCTGTACTGACCTGCCCTTGGGGTTCTGACAGGATATGCCCTCAACTGCCCCACTAAAAGCACCTCCTATGCATATTCACTATGTTTCCTATTTAAATGGTCCTGCCCAGCTCCCATCCTCCTCCTCCTCCTCCTCCTCCTCCTTCTCTCTCTCTCTCTCTCTCTCTCTCTCTCTCTCTCTCTCTCTCTCTCTCTCCTCCCTCCCTCCTTCCCCCCTCTCTCTCTCCCTCCCTCCCTTCCTCCCTCCCTCTCTCTCTCCCCTTCCATCCCTACTCTCTGCTCTCTCTCTCCCTCCCTCCTCTCTTTCCTCTCTCTTGATGCTCCTTCCCCGGAGGCCGGTCTCCCCCTCCCCTTTTTGTTACCTTCCTCCCCCCCAAAAAACCCTCTTCTTGAACCCTGTCACATAATGTCTTTCTCTTGCCCTGTTTTTCTTAAATTACATTAGGAGACCTAGACTTGATTGAATCTCTGCAGGCAGGGACAAGAGAGTAAAATGACCCAAAGAAAATCCAAAGGAGGAAACTGGGAGGTGACAGGAGACTGAGCCACGAGTCGGTTTGGAAATCCCACTACCTGTTCTGGCATCTATGCTGGACAGGCTAGATTGCACTCACTGTTCCCTGTTAACAGGCAGTCTAGGTAGGGAAAGATCAATCCTGGCCCAAGACATCTCTGTCTTTCCTCCTCCATCTCATGGCAGATGGGATAAACTGGCTCCAATATTCTTCCGATGTTTCTAATCAGAGACCTTCTCAAACAGTGCTCAGAATTAGGCCCTGGGACACTCAAACCAAAGCCTCTGTACTTCTGTCAGAAGGCATGGCTCCAAGCTGATGACAAATAAAAAAGCCTTCTCAGTGGACCCTCAATTATAGTACTATCCTTCAAATGGATCAGTTCTGTAAAGCCGAGAGAAAATAGCCCAAGGTCCTCTATGTTCACCATAATTATCAGCTCGATCCCACTATTTTAAT